AATTATAAGAACTACTAATATATTATATTCATTAAACTAGTGGTTCTTATTTATTTTTTTTTAAATTTCATTTCGGTTTTTCTAATTTTGCATATGATCTTTTTATGTTCAAAACACTAACAATAAGTAAATGGGGGGGGGGGACAGACCCGGGCAACTGTCCAAGTGGTCGTAGATAGGACATTTAAGTGTCCAAGTGGTCGTAGATAGGACATTTAAGTGTTAAGGCGAGTGAGTTTTAAATTTAAGTTTATACAAAAATGTTGACATGCGTTGTAATTTAATAACTAACATTATTGATATTTTGTAGGGGAAAAAAGTAATAAAGGGACCAAATTGTAACGAAACTGAAAGTGTAGAGTTCGATTTATTCAAATTAAAATTATAAAGATCAAAGTGAAACTTTGCTCAAATTAAAAGAACCAACAATGTAATTTATTTATTTATTTATTGATAAATTACATTTATCTCTTTTCAAGTTTGAAAATAATAAAATAAGTCTTGTAATTTTATTTTATTTTTGTTTTTTAGCCTCTGTTTGAGAAGTGGGTTGACTTTTTGGCTTTTTTGGTTATTTTAACATGGGCTAAAAAGCTTGGTTTAGGAATGATTTTTTTGACTTTTTGACTTTTTTGAGTTTTTTTTGTGAGAGAAGAATGTAATGATTATGGATTAGATGTGATGTTCTGTTTGTTGTGGCTAAAATAACCTATTTTGTCTTTTATGATTATTCTAATCCCAAAATCACTTGCCAAACACCACCCATTGGATCGTGGTAATGGTTATCTTTGATTGCATTGGGAAGCTTCAATGAGCCATTAGATAATAACCCTACACTTTAGTTCTACAAGTTTAACGGGAAAAATTACGAGAAGTGGGACAATTATTTATTAAAGGATGACAATCTTCTTAGGATATAATTTTTGTTGTATTTTTTTTACACTGAAAGAGTTGGACCTTATAAATTTGTAATTATTTTTTATCATATACATATGGCATTATTCTTAGAGAAATTATCACTAAGTAAGAAGTGGGGTAATTATTTACTGAAGGGTAAAAATCATTAAGGACGAATTAATTCGATTCATGATTACCTCAAAATTGAACTAAATTTGTCGATAAACACCTCATCAGAAAGTACTTCACAAATTGGCTAAAGCCAATATGGCTATGATCTGATTGAAAAAAGTATTTATATGTTATTATTTATTATCTTTTTATTTTGTAAATACTTTTTTTTTTTGTAAATGTCTAATATTTAATATTGAATGAAACTTTATTTTTGAATTTAATGATAATATTCAGCTTTTATACGTATAAATATGAAACATTGGTAACATTAATGTAATAAAACAAATTTTTTAGTCAATTTTTTTTGTTGTATATATAATTCGGCCCGTTAATGAGACTTTTAAGTTTGCCATTGGGGACGAGTAATAGCTATAGGTGTTGTAAAAATGGTATAATTAAATAAAATAAATAGATTTATAATTGACAATTGAAATTTAATAAAAATAAATAAATAAATAAATAAATAAAATGCTGAAAATTACAAGTTGAACATAATAAAATAAAACGGCAAAAGAAAGCAAATCGAAATCTGCACTAGACAATTTCTTTAAAACAGATTCGTCACCTCACCGATTGGGTGCTACAGGTTTTTCAACGTCTGTCTCCCAGGATATGACAGTTAAACCAGCTACAACAAAACACTTACTGCATAACTTCGGCGAACAGAACTAAAGCAACACTCTCTCACTAGAAGAATATCAAAACTACAGGAAAATTCTAGAACACAGAGAGAGCAATCTAAGTTCCTGAAGAAGAGGGGCCTCCTTTTATACATACGGAAGGAGAGAGAAAGAGGCTCTTGTCATCAAGGCCCATCACAAATGCAAAATTAAACTCAACAAAACTGATGGATTTAATCCATTATGAATGTAGAGGAATTACCAACTTTTATACACATGTGTATTGTTTATATTTCTGCAGCCACATATCTGGTTTGGCCCAAAAAAATTAAGATGGGTGGGCCAAGAATCCGGCCCAACCTCCACACTTAATCCAATCCAGCAAACCCAAGCCCAAACTTAAGCCGAAGATCTAAGATCCACGACCTACGGACCATGAACCTGGACCCAGCCGGGGTGGACGGGCGCGGCGCGCTCACGTATGGCAATTTTTGCATAAGCAACTTGGTCTATAGTCTTGGCCCAAATCCATCCTTGAAGTATCCATAACTCATTTTCTTCAGAAAATTTGGATACCTTAGGTAAAAGATAGGATTTAAATACCCATCAATGCTCTCATCTATAATCAATATGGGATAGAAAGATACACACCTTTCCCAACACCTCTTTCACGAGATCAACTTAATGAGTCAATTTCTCATTCAAATCTTAATAGTTTTTTTTTTTTTTTTTTGTGGTGTAAAGAGTTCATTACTAAGAATCTAAACCCACTCTACTCCATTTCAATTGAAGATTGACACCCACTTTAATATTGCATTAAAGTCACTAAAAAATTATTATTTTCCAACAATCCCCTACATAAATAAAAATTGACTGAATAACAACAAACGGACAATGCTTAACAACAAAGACTCGGAGAGAGAGTGCAACGGAATAACTCCTGCATTGGAAAATGTAGCTTTTGGCTTTAAACCCCTCATGGTGAAGTCTATTGGATTTACTGGACGCCCAGTGAACATGAAGTCTTAAACTATTCTATCGTTTATGTAAACTAAGACAACTGACCTCACATAGGTATTACTCCAACCATCGTTTTGTTCTCACTGTTGTGTTCGGTTTAGCCTTGGAACACTAACCTGGTTCAGTAAGTGGTTTAAAGAATTTGGCCTTGTCAATTCTTGACTCTACTTGAACTCAACACACTAGAGTCATTAAAAGCTTAACTTAACCTCTATACTTGCAGGTATCACTAATAAGAGGAATGGATGGAGGTTTTACCTCCTCAGTGACATATCATCATTACGCGCAATTAGGTTGTCTTATTGAACCTAAATCTTGGGTTCTCTAGTCAACTAGATTGGGTTTCCATTCCGGTAACACCTTAAACTAAAGGCCTTAAACCCGTTTCTTCTGATAACTTCTCTACTAATAATTGATTTAACCCTTTGGCCAGCAAATCCGCAATGTTGTCCTTAGACTTCACATAGTCTAAAGTGATAACTCCGTTAGAGAGAAGTTGTCATATGGAATTATGTTTACGACAGATATGTCTAGACTTTCCATTATACATATTACTCTATGCCCGTCTAATAGCCGATTGGCTGTCACAATGAATACAAATGGCTGGCACAAATTTCGATCAACGTAGAATATCCTCAACGAAATGAAAAAACCATTCTGCTTCTTCTGTTGCTTTATCTAACGCTATAAACTCCCGATTCCATCGTTGATCATGAGATAAACGTCTACTTGGACGATTTCCAAGACACGGCTGCCCCTCAAAGAGTGAACACATAACCACTAGTGGATTTCGAATCCCTAACATCAGATAGTCGCATCACTATAGCCTTCTATTACTACTGGATATCTACTGTAATGCAGTCCATAATCCCGGGTGAAACGGAGATACCTTAACACCCAAATGATACCCTTCCAGTGAGTGGCATCAGGATTGCTCGTGTATTTACTAAGTCTGCTAACAGAGTAAGCTATATCCGGCCTTATACAACTCATCAAATACATCAAACTCCCAATGACCTGAAAATATTCTGGCTGAGAGACACTCTCACCATTATTCTTAGTCAAATGTAGACTCAAGTCTACCGGTGTCCTAGACACACTTGTATTTGATTTACCAAACTTCTCAAGCATCTTCTCAACATAGTGAGATTGAGAAAGTGCAATACCATCAGACGTTCTGGTAATCTTAACACCCAGAATTACATTTTCAAGGCCTATATCTTTCATGTCAAACTTAGAGTTTAACTATCTTTTGGTAGTTATAATCATCTCATCATTACTACCAACAGTGAGTATGTCATCAATGTATAGACACAAAATGACATAACCTCTGTCAGTGTCCTTAACATATACGCACTTATCACACTCATTGATTTTAAACCCATGTGACAACATAGCGTTGTCAAACTTCTCATGTCATTGCTTAGGAGCTTGCTTCAAACCATACAATGATTTGACAAGCTTACAAACTTTCTTATTTTGTCCTAGAGTTGAAAACCCCTCAGGTTGTTCCATGTAGATTTTTTCATCTAAGTCTCCATTTAAGAAAGCTGTCTTTACATCCATGTGATATATCTCCAAACCATGTAAAGCTACTATCACAATCACTATGCGAATGGATGCAATCCTTGTCACAGGTGAATACGTATCAAAATAATCCAGGCCTTCTCGCTACTTATATCTCTTGATAACTAGCCTAGTTTTATACTTATCAATTGATCCATCCGCTTTCATCTTTCTTTTAAAGATCCACTTACTTCCTAAGGCCTTACTGTTTGGGGGTAGATTAACCAACTCCTAAGTATGGTTCTGTAAAATGGAGTTAATCTCACTCTTAATTGCTTCTTTCCACAAAGAACTTTCAGGTGAAGTCATAGCTTCATGGAAAGTTCAAGGTTCTCCGTCTAACTTATAAGTCAAAAAGTTTGGACCAAAGGACTTTGAGGTCCTAGCCCTTTTACTCATTCTTGGCTCATCTACTTCCTTAGCTTGATCATCTGTGTGATCATCTGCGCGATCATCTATGTGATCATTGTAATCTTCAACCTCTTTTATGGATCTCGAAACCCCTTTTTAGAGACGACAAGGAAATACATCTTCAAAGAAAGATACATTTCTTGATTCCATGATAGTATTCTTGTGTATATCTGAAATAGTAGACTTACACACTAAAAATCGATATGCACTGCTATTATGTGCATAATCGATGAATATGCAATTCACTGACTTCAAGTCTATCCGAACCTGCTTGGGTATAGGCACCACTACTTTCGCAAGACACCCCCACCTTCATAGGTATTTATATGAAGGCTTGTGGCCTTTCCACAACTCATATGGAGTATTGTCCACTTTCTTCCGATGTATTCTACTAAGAATGTAATTCACGAAGAGAATTGTTTCCCTTCCACAAGTTCTGTGGCAACCCATAACTTATTAACATCATATTCATCATTTATTTTGACGTCCTATTGTTCCGCTCAGCAACACCATTTGACTAAGGGGAATAAGGCGCTGTAGTTTGGTGGATAATCCCAATTTGAGCACAAATCTTAGCAAACATGGATTCATACTCACCACCGCGGTCACTTCTTAAAACCTTGATCTTATGGGTTAGTTAATTCTCAACTTCATTTTTGAAAAGAATAAATTTATCAATTGCCTCATTTTTGTTTTTAAGCAAATACACAAACAGTATTTAGTACAATCATCGACAAAAGTGATGAAGTACTTATTGCCACCACGTAATTGTACGACTTTCAAGTCATACACATCACTATGCACTAAATCTAAATGCTCGGTACTTCTTTCAATAGAATTAAAAGAAGTCCTCGTCAATTTTGCATTTACACAAGTTTCACACTTGTGATTTGAATTAATCTTGAAAGATGATATGTGATCTAACTTGATTAATCTACACAAAGAGTCAAAATTCACATGACCCAGTCTACCATGCCATAAATAAGGGGACTCAAGCATATAAGTAGAGAAGAAGTTTTCTCATTAATTTTAGGGACATTGAGCTTAAATATACCGCCCGACATATACCCCTTTTTCACATAGACCGCTCTTGGTCAACACGACCTTATCAGACTCAAACACTATGGGGAAGCCATGCTTGCTTAAGAGCGACCTTGAAACAAGTTTCTTACGAATGTCCGACACATAAAGGACATCGTTCAAAGTCAGCTCTTTTCCTGAAGTTATCTTCAAGACCACGTTGCCTTTACCCTCAACAGTTGAGGTCGTAGAATTTCCCATGAACAACTTCTCACTGTTTGAAACCAGTTTGAAAGTTGTGAACATCTTCTTCTCAGCACAAATGTGGCGAGTGGCCCCAGTGTCCACCCACCATTCCTTCAGGTTGGACACCACCATGTTCACCTTTGAGACGACAACTGACACATGCATGTCGTCCACATCTTGTAACAGATCCTCCATTTCAGCCATGTGGACATGACTCTTGTTTTGTGGAGGGTTCTTCTTGTAAGGTTTCTTTTTCTTGCGGCAATCAACTGCTCAATACCCATCGCTTTTACAGTTGAAGCACTTTCCATTGAACCTAAAAATAGGTTGTTGTGGCTTATAGACCGGCCTCTTGGAGATTCCACCTCTAGCCCCCAACTTGGACCTTTTACTTGTTGGTGGCTTTTTCTTCATCCTTGAGGACTGGCCATGCTCAACTACGTTTGCTTTCACAATAGAGGTACTCCCCCCTTTTTTTTCTGTTGTCTTCCTCAATTTGGAGCCTAACAATGAGCTCTTCAACTGTCATCTCCTTTTGCTTGTGCTTCAAGTAGTTCTTGAAGTCTTTTTAGCCATTAGGCAGCTTTTCAATCAAAGCTGTTGCCTAGAATGATTCACTTAGAAACATTCCCTTTACATGAATCTTATGCAAAATTACTTGGAAATCTTGGACTTGACTAATGACAGTTTTTAGTCCACCATTTTGAAGTCCAGAAACCAACCAACGAAAAATTTCTTTGCCCCAGCATCCTCGGTCTTGTACTTCTTGTCCAAAGCATCCCACAACTCCTCTAACGACTTCTTGGCATAAAACACATTGAATAGTGGGTCTGCCAAGCCATTCAGAACATGATCCTGGCAGAGGAAGTCTGACTACTTCCAAGCATCTAGAGCCATGAGCTTCTGCTTGTCTCGCTCATTCTCTTCTGCGGCTAGTGGATCCTTACTCAAAAACCTCATAGGGCTTAGAGTAGTCAGGTAGAATAGCATCTTCTACTGCCACCTCTTGAAATTCACTCCCATGAAGTTCTCCCGGCGCTCATAATGGTTGAACGGTCCTTTCGGAACAACAGAAATAGCAACAGGGTTGACCACAGAGGTCACAGCAGCAAGGTTGACTACAGAGGTCCTAGTAGGGGTTGGCAAGCAAGTAGTCCCGAGATTTTGATCCCTACCAACATTAGCAACAGCAGCTGCAACATTGGTAACAGTTTCTATTTCTGAAAAATATAATAGAATTTCACTATTCTGCGTTTTCATAAATTAAACTTAACACTAGAAACTCTCAAAGTTGGAAATTTAATTTAAAACTGGTCTCACCACTTAACCTAGAAATGAACATGGTCAGGAAAGATTTCAAGAAGACTGGAAGGATCACACCGATCGCACTTAAAACCTAGTTAACCTTAGACAAAATTTTTAAGAGTATGTTGATTCCTAATCCATGAGAAATAATTTTTAGAATTAAGTTTTCCAATGTATGAACTAGATTAAAACAAACCAAGTTCCAAACTTACATGCAATTTAAACATTGCTAACCAAAATACAAGCAAATAAAACATTGCTACAATACATTGGTAAATAATCACAATTAAAACTCAAGCAAAAAATTGTTTCAATTATAAAGAAAGTAACTAATCCATAAGGATTTTATTTGGTCCAAAATCCTTTTCACACTTAGGTATTTCTATTCAACACAAAGGTTAAAAGTTCAAAACTTTGTTTTTACATCCCAAATACTAATCATTTGGTTTTGTATTTGTTTTTCAATCCCTTTCGCATAGGTATTCCTATAAAAAAAAGTTAGCAAAAACACAACAAATACAAAACAAATAATTGACAGAAACTATAAAAGCAATAATTTATTTAAACCTTCTAGCAATCTATTTAATAGCAAAATTAAGTAAAACTTAAAAGTTAGACAAGTTATTACACAATTAAACTTATAACTTCAAAAATAAAGTAAAATTTTAGTAGGTAAGAGTTACATACATGTACATACTTATAGACTATTAACATGCACATAACTCTAGAGCAATTAACACGTACATAACTCATGTAAATAATTTTAGAAATTAGAAAGCAATTAGCAAGCAGATTACCCAAAAATTAGCAAATTACATTACAAATCTAGAAAATTTAAAACATGTGAATTCATGGTAGGGAATTAAACCCATATTTATAAAATAAAATCATACTGCAACATCCTCGGTCTTGTACTTCTTGTCCAAAGCATCACACAGCTCCTCTAATGACTTCTTGGCATAAAACACATTGAATAGTGGGTTTGCCAAGCCATTCAGAACATAATTCTGGCAAAGGAAGTCTGACTGCTTCCAAGCATTTAGTGCCATGAGCTTTTGCTTGTTTCGCTTATTCTCTTCCGCGGTTGGTAGATCCTCACTCAAAAACCTCGCAGGGTTTAGAGTAGTCAGGTAGAATAGCATCTTCTACTGCCACTTCTTGAAACTCACTTCCGTGAAGTTCTCTTGGCGCTAATGATGGTTGTGCGATCCTCTCAGAACAGTAGAAGTAGCAATAGGGTTGACAACAGAGGTCATAGCAGCAGGGTTGACCACAAAGGTCCCAGTAAGGGTTGGCAAGTCGATAGTCCTGGGATTCTGATCCCTACCAACATTAGCAGCAACAGCAGCAACAACATTGGTAACAGTTTCCATTTTTGAAAAATATAACATAATTTCACTATTTTGCGTTTCCAGAAATTAAACTTTACACTAGAAACTCTCAAAGTTAGAAATTTAATGCAAAACTAGTCTCACTACTTAACCTAGAATTGAACATGGTCAGGAAAGTTTTTCAGGAAAATTGGAGGGGTCACACCGGTCCCACTTAAAACCTAGTTAATCTTAGACAAAACTTTCAAAAGTGTATTGACTCCTAGTCCATGTGAAACAATTTTTAGAATTAAGTTTTCGAATGGATGAACTAGGTCAAAACAAACCAAGTTCCAAACTTACATGCAATTTAAACATTGCTAACCAAAACACAAGCAAATAAAACATTGCGATAAGACATTGGTAAATAACCACAATTAAAACTCAAGCAAAAACTATTTCAATTATAAAGAAAGTAACAAATCCATAAGGATTTTATTTGGTCCAAAATCCTTTCCCCGCGTTGGTATTCCTATTCAACACAAAGGTTAGAAGTCCAAAACTTTGTTTTTACATCCCAAATACTGGGCTTGTTTGGTAACCATTCCGTTTTCAGTTTTCAATTTTTATTTACAAAAATTTAAAAATCTGTCATAAAAACTTGTTTGATAATTTTTTTAGTTTATAAATGGTTGTCTCAGTTTATAAATTTGAGAAAAAAACGTAAACTCAAAATATGAGTTTACGTTTTCAGTTTTCAATTTTGTTTTCAAATAATTTCTTTTCAAATAATTTTTTTTTCAAATATATTTTTTTCAATTAATTTTTTTTTCAATTAATTTTTTTTCCCAATTAAATTTTTTTCAATTATTTTTTTAATTAATTTTTTTTCATTTTTTTCCAATAATTTTTTTTCAAATAATTTTTTTTTTCAAATATTTTTTTCCCAATTAATTTTTTTTTCAATTATTTTTTTAATTATTTTTTTTTTCAAATATTTTTTCCCAATTAAATTTTTTTTCAATTATTTCTTTTTCAATTAATTTTTTTTCCAATTAAAATTTTTTTAATTATTTTTTTTTTCAATTATAATGTGTGTGATCCCATTGTCATAAATAATCTAAATAAATATAAATATTTTAGGTCTGAACAAATATATTTTTTAGTTTATGTTTTTCTAAAAATAAACAAAAACTAGTTTATAAAATTTTTGTAAATATAAACAAAAAAGCAAAAACTATTTCAATTATAAAGAAAGTAACAAATCTATAAGGATTTTATTTGGTCCAAAATCCTTTCCCCGCGTTGGTATTCCTATTCAACACAAAGGTTAGAAGTCCAAAACTTTGTTTTTACATCCCAAAAGCATTTGGTTTTGTATTTGTTTTTCCAATCCCTTTTGCATAGGTATTCTTATAAAGAAAGTTAGCAGAAACACAACAAATACAAAACAAATAATTGACAGAAACTATAAAAGCAATAATTTATTTAAATCTTCTAGCAAACTATTTAATAGCAAAATTAAGTAAAAATTAAAAGCTGGACAAGTTACACAATTAAAGTAAAATTTTAATAGGTAAGAGTTACATACATGTACATACTTATAGACAATTAACATGCACATAACTCTAGAGCAATTAACATGTAAAAAACTCATGTAAATAATTTTAGAAATTAGAAAGCAATTAGCAAGCAGATTACCCAAAAATTAGCAAATTACATTACAAATCTAGAAAATTTAAAACATGCAAATTCATGGTAGGGAATTAAACCCATATTTATAAAATAAAATCATACTACAACAAATAAGTATGCAAATTATGCTAGAGTCTAGAAATTAAAAAGCATTCTAATTAAACTGACAAATTAGAACTAAACATGGCATATACTAATTTACAATCAAGCACTTTCAAAAAAACAGTAGACAATTCAAGAAATCAAATTAAATGTCTACACGTATGAGAATTATACTGAAGATAAAAAGTATTAAACTGAGAAATTCAAACTCAACATCCCATATATGAATGTACATAGTGATTCGGCTTCGGTGGTTGTGAAAACCAAACAGCAGCATGCATATAAATATATATTTATTTTGTGTTGTATTATTATTTAATATTCACACATGCAACAACATGAAGTGATGTACAAAGGACAATTAGACATGAACCACATAAAAAAAAAATGTATTAACGCAAAACTCACAACTTCTAAATAAGAAACAGTGATCTTGACATATTCCGCATACATGCTCTAATACACGGAGTTCAAAACAAAATACTGGGCAACGTTTTTGTTATTATTATGAAACACAGAAAGTAATAACATTGTATAATCCTATTCCAGATGAATCTATTTATTCACATAATTTGTTTTAAGATTGTTGTAAAAATGGTATAATTAAATAAAACAAGTAGATTCATAATTGACAATTAAAATTACATAATAAAAAAAACATGCTAAAAATTATAAGTTGAACAGAGATACATAATAAAATAAAATGGCAAAAGAAAACAAACCGAAACCTATACTAGACAATTTCGTTAAAACAGATTCGCCACCTCACCGATTGGGTGCTGGATATTCTTCGACGTTTGTCTCTTAGGATACGACGGTTAGACCAGCTACAGCAAAGCACCTGTTGCATAACTTTGGCGAACAAAACTAAAGCAACACTCTCTCACTAAAAGAATATCAAAGCTAGTGGAAAATTCTGGAACTTGAAGGGAGAGCAAATTTTCTGGTGTCCAAACCTGAAGAAGAGGGGCCTTCTTTTATATACATGGAGGGAGAGAGGAAGAGGCTTCTGCCATCAAGGCCCATTACAAATGCAGAATTAAACTCTGCAAAACTGATGGATTTAATCCATCATGAATATAGAGGAGTTACCAGCTTTTTATACACATGTGTATTGTGTATATTCCTGCAACCACATATATCTGGTTTGGCTGTAAGTTTATAGGATCTTTATACTAGAAATCAAAACACTATGAATATAATTAATTACTAAAATAAAAACTTAAATACATATCGTTTAATTCTGCGATTGACTTGAGTGTTGCTTTCTTTAGAAGAATATGGTATTCACAAATAGAAAACCTTAGCACCAGCTCTTCCTCTCATTCTCCTATATCTTTCACATTGTTTTTCAATGTGACTAACAACCTTTAGATTTACATATATATATAAATATAGGTAAACCCTAATAGGATAGGAGAGGGGACCGGGCCTAAACAAATATTGGGCCCTCCCATTAAGGAACCCACATAACTCAAAACAAGCCTTACACCTCCATACCACATACTTATAATAAATCCACTGAGATGAACCATGGCCCAAAACTTTATGAATCACAAAATTAATTTGGGCTCATACCAGTCAGTTTGTCTGAATCACTTTCAATCCGTTTTTCACAAATCAAAATAAAACATAGTTAATGGTAGCCCAATTAAGAATAAATTCTTACATTCTCCCACTTGGGCAACATTGACTACTAATTTTTTTTTTTAAAAAAAAAATTATTTAATAAAATGACTCTCGGATTGAACAACTTTAATGGCCACATAAACATGATTCAGAACAAAAACATCTTAGCACAAAATCCCGTTCAACAAAAATATTAATATTGAACTGCAGCAATAATTATGCTATTTATCATCATAATATCTTCTACAATTACAAATACTAATATTCCACCAACATGGATTCCTGTATGTGATGAAGTGTAGTGTGAAACTTTTAGCACAAGTGATCCAATCAATTATAACATGCTAATTTCACATTTAGTCCTCTGTATAGTCTAAAAGACCCTTTATGGAATTTTATCCCCTGCAAGCATAAAAATATAACTCGTAGTGGATTTCATGTCATCTGAACAACCAGCAAAATCTGCATCTGTATAGCCAGTAATTTCAAGATGATCAACTTTCTTATAGACAAGCATACAATCTTTTGTTTTCTACAAGTAACTCAACACTTTCTTCGCTCCTACCCAATGCTCATATCCTGGATTATATGAATATCTCCCCAATAGACTTGCAGCATATGCAATATCAGGCCTAAAAGACCCTTTATGGAATTTTATCCCCTTTACACTTCCAAAGGAAGCCTTTAAATCTCAAAACAAGATTTTAAACTTTATGGATCCATGTACACTTCTAAAATCGAAGCCTTTAAATTCATTTAGAATTTATTAACTGTAACTATATGAGCTCACTTAAAATAAATAACAAATAATATTCAAATGCGCACAAAACTTATAACTGTAGATAAAATGAGAGTCAACACATCAAATTTTAATAGTTAAAAAAAATAACTCATTAATGTGTCAAAAACAGTACTTAAAAAAAATCTATCCAAGCACATCAAAAGACTGTAAAATACTCATGTGCTCAACATGTTTAACAAACTCAATTGGCCTAAGCCCTTTAGTAAGAGGACCTGCTAACATGTCTTTTGTACCAATGTGCTCATAAGTGACATCACCATTATCCACCCATTCACGAACTTTGAAATACTTCAGATTTATATATTTAGCACCACTAGAATTTTTATTGTTCTTTGTAAAGAAAACCGCAGCCATATTATCACAATAAATTCTTATAGGTCTATAGATGGAATCAACTACTTGAAGCCTTGAAACAAAGTTCTTTAACCACACAGCTTGAGTACCAGCCTCAAAACATGCTATCACTTCTGCTTGCATTGTAGAAGATGCTACAAGTGATTGCTTGCAACTTTTCCATGATATGGCACCACCTGCAAGCATAAAAATATAACTCGTAGTGGATTTCATGTCATCTGAACAACCAGCAAAATCTGCATTTGTATAG